CAAACCATATCTCTTCATCACGACATTGTATAGTCTCTGGTAGATCGCTAGTCATGGTTTGAAGAAACAGATGGGTCAACATAGCATCTCCACCCGGATGTTGTACTTTCAGCCATGGCCCGAAGCAAGTATCCTCAAATATTTTTCTTTGTGCAGGTGAAAGCTTCGACGCAATTATTTTGGCCAGGCTTACTTTATTTCTTAAGGTCAATTGAGCCGAATAAAAGTTATGCAAAAAATAAACATACCAATTTAGATATACCAAAAACTACTGTGAAGATATGAACAATAAACATAAGAGTAGTAGTTTATTCTTCAAACTTAAATTGCAACACTGTAAATTTAGTATTTGTTTTTTGGTTGAAGTATGCAATTTATTCAAGTTTCAATTTGCAGAAGAAGAATAGTTTGAAACTTTAAATCGCAACACGAAAATGAAAATCGCAACAACGAAAATGACTATCGCAACGCGAATTTGACTATCGCAACGCAAGAATCGCAACGCGAAATGAAAATCGCAACGACAGAATCGCATTGCGATAGTCATTCTCGGTTTCAAATACTAAAATTGAAAGAAACTTGAATGGACTGCATTACTTAGACTAAACAGTTTAGCAGTATTGACAGCAATCGAATGAATATAATAAGCAATCTAAGTGAAATGGTTAATCTATTATTGAAAACACCAGTAAACTTATCATCAATTTCAATATGAAAAACCTAATAATAATGCAAAAATATCAAAATAAATAATTAAAAAACTAACCCTCGGTGGTTGATTTGGTTGATTTCCATTTCTGACCGTGAATGATTTCGCCGGAGATGGAGACTGATATCGTCGGAGATGGGGACTGATTTCGTCGGAGATGGGGACGGATGTCGCCTTAGAGAGTGAGAGATGGAGAGTCTGAGTTGTGATTTAGGGTTTAGGTTATGAGTTGCGATACGGGATATACTGTGGACGGTTCAGTGTTCCGATATATTAATATATTCGTGTTTGGAATTTGAAAAAAAAATACGCGTTGGATACGAATGGCGCTATGTAAATCGCATTGCGATAGTCAGATTCACATTGCGATAGTCAAATTTGCATTGCGATTTACATATTCGCATTGTGATTTACGTATTCGCATTGCGATTTACGTATTCGCATTGCGATTTTCCAAATTCGCGTTGCGATTTACGTATTCGCATTGCGAATTAGGAAAATCGCAACGTGAATTTGGAAAATCGCAATGCGATAGTCAGAATCGCGTTGCGAATCTGGAAACTGATTTGCGATACCGGAGATCGCGTTGCAAATTATCGATCGCATTGCGATTTAGTTGGTCATTTTGGCAAATCCAAAAAAAGTTGGTTAAAATCGTATATTATAAGGCATTTTTGGTCACTGAGATTATTTTCTCTTTAAGACCAAAGCTTCTCCAATTTCAAACATCCACGTGTCAACGCAACATAGAACCGTTGCTCCTTGTCTTTATGGGTGAGTAAAATTGAATTGGATTCGAAAACATTATTATTTTTATTTGGATCGATGCTAAAAAAACTTTATTTTATTTATAATTTTATAAATTTGATTTAATTTAAAAATATTTAAATTTAAATCTTGTTCTAAAATAATAACTCAATTTTTAATAATTAGTGTATGAGTATTCAAATTCGAGTCAAACTCTTTAACTTTTCATAATATATGCATATCGTACATAAAAAATGAAGAAATATATATACATATCATATATAATTATAAAAATTTATTTAAATTGAAATGAATTAATATCATAATATTATAAATATTTAAGAATAAACTTAAACAAAAACTTGAATAACTCAATTTGATTTGAATAATGTTTTTGGTATATTATGCGTTTACTACCTTAATTATCAGTTTGATCTGTTTTAGTACCTAAACTTTTATTTTATTTTTCAAAATTATAACTAATATTTAGTTTTTATTTCATTTTAATATCATATTATTAAAAATTTAACGGATGGACTCGCCGACCGTTGTGTCTATAGTCGTTGATCATCGCATACATCAGTTGATGGAGCCCAATACTTTTTATTCTTCTTTTCTGTTTTTCATTTATCAAGAACTTATTATTATTATTATTATATATATATATATATATTATATATATATATATATATATATATGCAAATAGAGTTTACTGTTATTATGATTCCCGATTATAGTGTGTTGTTTTATTGAGTCTCCAACTATTAAAAGTTATAAAATGGTCCTTCAATTATAGGGTATTGTTTTGATGAATCTCTCGACTATTAAAAGTTTGAGATTCTGAGATCAAATTTATCATATCCCGGTCAGTATGTTAACATTCAACTCATATTACCGTCATTTTTTAAATGTAAGGGACAAGTTTGGAACATATGAATAGTTGGGCGATCATTTTATAACTTTTAATAGTCAGGGGACTCAACAAAACAATACCCTATAGTCAAAGGATCATGTTGTAACTTTTAATAGTCAAGGGACTCAATAGAATACTCTATAGTTGGGGGACCATTTGTGTACTTTACCCTTATTATTATTATTATTATTATTATTATGGTAAATTATGAATTACTTTGAAGCTACAACTATAAAATTCTTTGGTTTTATTCTATAGAAAATTCACAAAACAATTCTTTACAAGTAATTCTATAGTTTGAACATTCAGCTGCCAAACTAATAATGTCTATAAATACATCCCTCAAAGATGCAAAAAATCATACCATAAACATATTTACATTGCAATTATTCTTATCCAATCAAACATATGGAGTTTTCTTCCTTAGCTCTTACTTGCCTCATGGCCTTTACCTTGATACTTCCCTCCCATGCCCAAGACTCACCACAAGACTACCTCAACCTCAACGCTCACAACGAGGCTCGAGCCGCCGTCAGTGTCGGTCCTATGTCTTGGGATGAGACCGTTCTGCCTTTGCACGGGACTATGCTAATTAACGCATCGCCGATTGCAACCTTGCGCACTCCGGTGGCGGTGGACAATACGGTAAGAACCTAGCTGGGAGTAGTGTCGACCTCTCTGGCACCGATGTTGTACGATTGTGGGTTGATGAGAGGGCCGACTACGATTACAACTCCAACATTGTGCATCGGGAAAGGTCTGCGGGCATTACACTCAAGTTGTTTGGCGCGACTCGGTTCGCCTCGGTTGTCAAAAACCTTACTAAAATAAATGCTTCATTTGTATGAAATCCTTCCAAGTCAACTTTCATTTGTGTTGTAGTAGAAAAGAAACTATATATGTACTCATCAAAGTACTGCATGACATATAATAAGGAAGGAACGGATATTTTATTATCTTGAATTACTATTATAATTTGCTATTTATCTTTGTTTCATTGTGTTTTTTTTTGGTCCCTTTGTTGATCGGTTTGGCTTGTCGTTGTTCCAAAAGTAATATTTGAGTAAGTTTTTGTTTTTCTCATCGAAATTTCAAAAATAATAAATTGATCTATAATGTTATCGATTTGTAACAAAAATGATCATTAATATTATCGATTTGTAACAAAATGGTCATTAATATTATCGATTTGTAACAAAATGGTCACTCCACTGTATTCTTGTTTAATTGATGATGTGGCAATATTAACAAAAAGGTAAATATTTAGTTTTACTCATAAACTACTATTAAAACATCAAATAGGTAATTGAACAATAACTTTATATCTAATTTATCTTAAAATCTTTTTAATTTTTTTAAAAAATAAAAAATTATAATTAACCCCAATTTGGGCAGTTGTGGTGCGCTATTTAGAATAATATCATGGTATCTTCACCATCACTTATGTCACGGTTGCTGGGTGAGTGACAGAAAACTCGAAATACCTTTGCTATAAAGTAACCAGTGATGACTAGTGATGCATCTAGCTTAGTGTTTATCATGGTTGGTGGCAGTGTGTTGAGTGAATGCTGCAATCTTTCACCACGAGAGCAAAGGGGGAATTGATTTCATTATCTGAGAGCAAGATGAGATTTTTTTCTTGTTATGAGAGTTGCTGTCGCAATTGTAGCTAGTTTATTCTCCTCGAGGGTATCTGAAAATCTTCGATAAATTGAGGTTATTTAAAGGAATAAAAATATATTTACTATTTATTTTCTTATAAACTCATCACTTTTTAATATTTTTAATTTTTAATTTTTTTAGTGTTTTAATTTTTTAAATTTAATTAAATATAATTATAATTTAAGTTTTTTTTTTAAATTAGAAAGTTTTTGGGATAAGTTAAATATAAAATCATTGTTCAATGACCTATTTGATGTTTTAGCAGTAGTTTAGGAGTAAAAATAAATATTTACCATTTTGTTAATGTTGCCACATCATCAATTAAACAAGAATGACGGTGGAGTGACCATTTTGTTATAAAACAGTAATGTTAGTGATCAATTTATTACTTTTGAAACTTCAATGAGAAAAATAGAAAATTACTAAACATTAGTGACCATTTGTTTAGTTTACTCAGAAAAGTAATCAAAGGGATTGCCACCGAAGAGTTTTGATCCTACCTATGCATGTTTTTGGGACGTGTGCCCAAACAAGTAGGCAACACATTCAACCTTTAATGGAGATCTGCACATTATGGATTTATGCGGAAATTGATGTCTGAAAGTTCGTTATAATTTTTGTGTATATAAAAAAATTTATTAAAAGATTTATTTATTAAAATTAATGTGTGACATACGCCTCGATCTAGATTAATTAGGACAAAATTTTGAGAATTGGAAGAGAACAAAATTTTCTTTAAAATCTCAATTGCATGTTTCATTTCTTCAAAAGAATTTATTTAACAGTACTTTAAAAATTATAAATAAATACTACTTTATAATTATATCAAACGCATGTGCCCTTAAAATAAATTATAAGTCGAAGACTATGTCATCGAGGTTTTACTTCAAACGAGTGATGCCGAGTTGCAAGATGATATGTCACCATGGGACTGCAAGCTGACGGAGAATAACAATGTCAATGTGACTATCAAGAAGCCGCTCCGTGTTCGGGGAAGACGTCACTGACTGTGGTTGCGGTGACGGGAGCAGCAACGGCTGCTAGAGGTTCAAAGAAGATGAAGCTGTGGGTGTTGCCGATGTACGGGACGAAGAAGATACCGGTGGCAATAATGCGAATGATAACGTTGGGACGCTGCATTTTGATTTATCAGAAGTGTATTTTTTCATTCATACTTATAGGGTAAATTTATTTCTAAAAGTATTTCAATATCATTCCCTCACATGATAAAGCATTCTCATCATAACCCTAATCACATGGTCCATCAGTAACTCTATCATTAAAGATCTCAATGGTATCACCTTCGACAACTTGATGCCACTTAAACGACCGATCATCCTCCATCACATTCTGTTTATGAATGAAAAAATACCCTTCTTCTGATAAATCAAAATGCAGCTTTTTCTGCAACTTTTGCAGCTCTTTCCTCAGCTCCCCAACGTTATCATTCGCATTCATCGCCACAGGTATCTTCTTCGTCCCATACATCGGCAACACCCACAGCTTCATCTTCTTCGAACCTCTAGTAGCCATTGCCGCTCCCGTCAAGGCAGCCGCAGTTGGTGACACCTTCCTCGAACGCGGTGGCAACGGCGGCTTCTTGATAGTCACATTGACATTGACATTGACATTGTTCTTCTCGGCCAGCATGCAGTCCCCTGGTGACATATCACCTTGCAACTCGGCACCACTCGATTGAAGTAAAACGTTGTCGCTCTTGTCGATTTCGAGATGGATCGAGGTTTCCGATGACTTCTTGATGTTCATATCGACATTTTCATTCTCTGTCAGCAAGCAGTCCCTGGTGACATATCATCATGTAACTCGGCACCACTCAATTGAAGTAAAACCTGACGTCGAAGCCTTCGATTTCAAGAGGGACCAAGGTTTCCAATGACTTCTTGATGTTCACATCGACATTGTTATTCTCTGTCAGCAGGCACTCCCCTGGTGACATATCACCATGCAACTCAACACCAATTGATTTAACTAAAACCTCGATGTCGTATCTTCGATTTCAAGAGGGACCGAGGTTTCCGACTACTTCTTGATGTTCACATCGACATTGTCATTCTCCGTCAGCATGCAGTCCCCTGGTGACATATCACCATGCAACTCGGCACCACTCGATTGAAGCACAACCTTGATGTCTTAGTCATCAATTTCAAGAGGGACTGAGGTTTCCGAGTTCGACGACTTCTTGATGTTCACATCCACATTGTTATTCTCCGTCACCGTGTAGTTCCCTGGTGACATAATACCTCGCAACTCGGCATCAGTTGAAATAAGTAAAGCCATGTCGTGGTCGTCGATTTCAAAAGGGAACGAGGATTCCGACAACGGGGTATCTGCGTTGAGTTGCACTTCCTTCAACGGCGATGAACTTCGTCGTTGTTGTTTATTTTTAATATCCGAAGCAGGAGCCACTCGTAGTTGAATGCGTGAGTATTGTAGGATTTCACAGTACTCGACGTCACGTTCGTTTTGAAGGACTTGGCCATTGAAGATTAGGGTTTGATTATCTACAGGTGTTCCCTCGTATTTCTGCACTTTCCCTTTGATTTCAAGAACTGTATCGAAGAAATCAACTTCAATGGAAAATGCTTTGCCACTTTGGGTTTCGAAGATGACATCCATTTGAAAAGATAGTGAAGGCTTCAATGGAGGCTCTGTCTTCTTTTTGGATGGAGTTTCTCAAACCAGACACCAAATTTCATCTGATTTAAATTCATTATATTATATAATATTCATATTTATATGTTATCTTTTTTTGTTTGTAACAGGCCCGATACAACAATTACAAAGCAGCCCAAACGAAAAGGGGCCCAGTAGTAGACCCGTCTGGTGACCAACTTGGAACCTGGACTCGCATCCGCTGGAGCAGCCCACGTGGAACCCTACCCGAATCGCTCCAAGCCAAACCCTAGTGTGTCGTTTCCTCAGTCGAAGCTTCCATCTCGTGAACCTTCCACAATGCCGCACGTCTCGCCCCAACAACCCACAATCATCGCTGTTTTACTCGGCCACAAATAACAAACAAGGCGTCAAGAAGCATTCTAGTGTAAATAAAACACTGAAAAATGAAATAATTGAGTCCGAATCAGACTCTAAAAATAGCAAATTATTTTACTATAAAATGATGTACTCAACACCCCATTGTACACAGAAATGATATGAAATACGAGCAAAAAGTTTCGAGCTGAAAAAAAAAAAAAAAGAAAAAACATACGATTGTGAGAAGGAAAGTCTGCGAAAGGAGAATCAAAGTATTAAAACGGCGAACAAACCTTTAAACTCCGAGCAAGCTAGCATCCGATAAAGGATCTCTATGTTTAAAGAAAGTAAAAAACGTAATCTTTTTGTTAGATCTACTGGATTCTGCTTTGATTACTTGAAAAACCAACTTTAGATTTGTAGTTCAGGCTTTAAAACGTTTAAAAGGACGAACTTTGTAAATTTCCAGTCACCGACGACGGTGGTCATCAATCGTTTGTGAAAACTGATTTTCCAGCTATGTCTGAAAATACCAAAGCATTTGAAAGGGGGGAGATAGCTGAAATCTTAGAAATTAGACAGAAGTGAAATTAGGTTTTAAAAATAACTTATAATAAACCCATTTAGATGTTACCCGATTCATTTAGAGTCTTTTAACCCGCGTGTTGTTTTCTTTTTCTGGGAAACAATGTGTCAGATCCTTTCGTTTTTAGAATGAATTCAATTTGGATCTCGTAATTAGCCTTAATTAATGTCATGTTGCCGTGTAATATAGCGCTAATGTTATTTAATCTGGATTTGTTGATCGCGATTGAATTCCATGTATATGACTTCTTAGCAAGATGAATTTGTGTCATCAAATTATTAATTGTCTTCAATTGAATCAAACTTGGTGTGAAAAGTGCATTGAGCATCCCGATTTCCTTGCTTGGAATGTGCCTGACTTAATAATTTTTTATCTTGTGGTTAGTGAACTGTGAATCAACGTGTCTAGATTTAGATTGATTAACGTGTTTGAATTCCATCTCCATAGTTTTGGTTGTCAATGCATTAATTTTGTTTAATTGTAATTCTTTTATTAATAAATTTTTAATCTTGTTAACCGATTAATTTTGACACCTAGACACTCTTATTCTTATTTATAATTAAACTTAAGAAAAAATTTGGAAATTTGATAATTATATCTCCTTTGGCCTCAGTTAAAAATTTGAATAATAATGTTGATACATGTTTAAATTAGGCGTGTTTGAGCTAAGTATTGATTAATGATTAGATAACTAATTAGTAAATAATTTGGATCATATGTTACCTTTTAATTTAAATTGCAATTTTCTTAACTAAAGACAAGTGAAAATTACGTAGTACCTAAATGACAGTTCAAGGGTGCTAACCCTTCCTTGACTGTAACCGACTCCCGAATCCAACACATCTTTGGTAAGACGCAAACCCGATAAGAAATAAGGTATCCGATCAACCCATTTTTTTTAAAATAAATGATCGGTGGCGACTCCTAATCCATTTGTTCAAGTCGAAGCTCAATTTTGGGCCCAACCGAAAGACAGTCGCGATAGCTTGGCGACTTCCCTGGGGACGGTAAGTGAGTCAGGCTAAGGTAATTTCCAGTTGTCTTTTTAACGAAAAGGGTAAGTTTAATTTTAAGGTAACATTTCGATCCTTATTGCTTACTTTTGATTATGTTTTCAAGTAAATAGTTGTACTAACCGTTTTCTAATGATTTCAGTCTTCCAAACTCGTTTTTCATCTCAGGCTCTATACCCGAGCTCTGAACCCTATTTAAATGGGGTGAAAGCGACGTCTTCGTGTGAATTTATTCACCGTGCGGGCCTAGCAAGTAGCCTTCGAGATTCATATACCTTATGTCTTCGTGTGAATTTATTCACCGTGCGGGCATAAGGGAATGTGTCATCTCGAGTTTAACTTAGTCCACACAAGCCTGTGATGGGTTTAGGATTAAGGGTCTGGCAAGCCCAAGGGGGCATCGGCAAGGAGAACTCGGGTACCGTTTTTTTAGAACCTAAACCGGGAGACTATGGAGAATTAGAGCCCACCCTAAAACCTCATTTCAAACCTTAGGATGACTGATTTATTTCTGCTTTACTTTCCATTCAAAGCATACGAACTAGACAAATATGAGGTTAAGATTTGTTTGAAATTAGCATGCGGGATAGAGATCATGTCCGGGTAGGAATAATAAGCATGTGGGGTAGATATCATGTGGGTTAGGATTTTTCATTTTTATTATTGTTTTGATTTACCTCACTAACTCTTTTTATTTTTCTCTTTTATTTTGTTTTCATAATTCGCATCATTTAAAAGATGTGTTGATCCACCAAAAACATGTTTGTTAAACATGAATAATATGCATTAATGGACAAAGGGGTTGTAATACAAGAGATGAAAATACAGAGGACAGTCTACAAGCGACTATGTGTCACATTCAATTCAGAAGACGTAACGCCCACAGTTGAAGAGTATATCACTCTGCTGCGTTATAAAGGACTTAGAATGAATCGAGTCTACATCAAGCACAATGAAAGTCTATCTTGGAAGAATTGACTGGCAGAGGTTGCAGGGGCAAGATGAAGGTCACTGATCTTGGGAGTCCCTTCAAAGACAACAATAACAAAACGATAGCTGAAATTGGAGACCATTGTTGACGAATTCAAGAAACAGACAAATGGACTTCACATAGTTCCTATCATTTAAGGGATTCAATGACGTATTCGTTGGGAATAGGCTCAACAAAAGATAAATGCCCAAGATACAGTCATTCGAGACTTCTTGGGCTAGTACAAAAAGTAACTCAACATTTGCACGGTTCATCCAGAGAAGCCGGAGCGGTTCGACAGGTTATTCAACCAGTGACAGACGAAGGCAGAAGACTGGTCAACATGTCAGAAGCTGTCATGATATTTTTGTCTCTTAAAAGATTGTTGAAACATTTTGATATTTCGATATAACATTAAGTTAAATGAATTTTAAGATTTTACAAAAGATTTTCTAAGTATATTCGATATAATTATTCAAATATCAAAATATTACTCCAAATATTTCAAATGTCATTTTTAATCCTTACTCAAGTGTAAAATTAAGTTTTAATGTTAAAATAATTTCAAAACAATTTTACAAAGTATTTCGAACCGTTTCAAAGCAAAAAATTCCAGATTGTCCAGAGGGAATCGATTCCCTATGAGGGGGTACCGATTCTCTATGAGGGGGTACCGATTCCCCCCACGCTCCAAGCTGTTTTATTAATTGATTCTCCTCTCTAAATAGCTCCAAAACATCTCCAACATCTATATACGACTTCAAACACATTCCAAGCTATAAATACAAGCTAAGAACACTTGAAGAATTATGAGAACAACTATCCAAGCAATCAAACACAAGAGAAGAGTTTTTCATTCTTATTTCATCTTTCTTTGTAAATATTTTTTTTGTGAGCTTAATTCTTGTAAACATCTACCTTAGAGAGGTTTTCTTGTTTACATTTCTTATCCTTTTGTAAAGGGAAATGTTTTAGTTAATCCCGTGTAAAAGCTAGGGAAAGGTTCTAGTTTAGATTGGAAAAACTAGGGAGTTTGTAAGGTTACTCTTTATCCTCAAAAGAAAGAACAAATTAGTGAATTTATTAGAAAATCCTTGGTGAGGAGCTAAGGTAGTGGACGTAGACTTTAGTTGAGAAAGTCGAACAACTATAAATCGCTGTGCAATTCTCTATCTTTCAATCTCCTTACTCCCTAAACACAAAACCGTTCCGGCCCCTCTATGCAAACCGTTCCTGTTGTCGATTCGAGCTTCCGAAAATCCTAACAATTGGTATCAGAGCCTAACTCATTAAGAAGGTTTAACCACCTTGAGACGATCCTCAAAGAAGCTCTACTATTTCTGACGCAAACCGACAAAGAATGACTTTTTATCAGAGCCTAACTCATTAAGAAGGTTTAACCACCTTGAGACGATCCTCAAAGAAGCTCTACTAATTTCTGACGCAACCGACAAAGAAATGACTTTTTCCTCCGGTGCTTATTATCTTGAAGAATATCCTATTATGGATTCACAACCGGTCAACAAGCCACCATTCTTCAATGGAGAAAATTATGCACATTGGAAGAATAAGATGATGTACTTTATTCAATCCTACAATCTAGGAGCTTGGAACTCAATCATGGATGGTTACTCCTCTCCACCCGGCAAGTACAACGATTGGAGTAGAGAAGAGCAGAGAAATTTTCAGCTTAATTCTAAGGCTATACATATTCTATTATGTGCTTTAGGCCCAAATATGGAAGATATCATCTTGTTCCAGTGCCAAATAGATTTGGGATAAGCTCCAAGTTACTCATGAAGGAACCAACGAAGTGATGGAATCAAAGAAAAGTCTTCTCAACCATAGCTACGAGAACTTCAAGATGAAACTCGATGAAGACATCAAAGCTATGACGAATAGATTTTCCGTGATTTTCAACGGTCTCAAGGGATATGAAGAAGTAATCCCAAATGAGAAGCTTGTGAGGAGGATGATCTACTCTCTTCCAAATGAGTGGAAATCGAAGAAGACAACCATTATTGAAGCAAGAAACCTAAAGTCTCTCACTCTCGACGAGCAAATTGGTTCACTT